CATCCCATTAGGTAGCATTATAGCGAATTTCAAGCTTCTTGCAATCCAAGAAAATAAAGTGGTTAGTTGATCTTTTTTGGTTCTAAACTTTGAATTCCAGTCACTCCTAATTTAATAAAGTAATCACGGGATAAGCCATGTACACCTTCCTTTAGAAGAAGACTTCTTCTATCAATGTTATATAATGTTTTGCCATAACTTCTGGTTTCTTGGGAAATTTTTGAGTTTGAAAATGGCTCGAACTTTTCTGACAACCTAATACAATTATATCATTTCTTTTCTACTTGATTTGTTTGTCCATTTGGAATACTCGCTAGCTTTGAAGTGAGTGTATTCATCATATAGATCTCTTTCTGCCTGCTATGGACGAGGATGGAGACGATTTTGACTATGACACTGCACCAGAAAGCAACAAGAAGGTCAATCAAAAAATGATTCGCTCCCCAATGAACAGCGGTTGTTTATCTCTCCAAAGAACATTTTCAGTACACCATATTTTGGATTGATGGTGGAGCTAACATGTTCAAAGGTGGAGATGATTGCGATTTCAAAAGAGCGATCAAAGTCGGTTCATATTTACTCATTCACTGTCTCAGAGGTTAAGTGAAGGTGGGACAATACGTTAAATTACAGGCAGTGTTCAATCAGTTGCTGAAAATAGGCTGCTCTGGCTCACGAACTCATCGTTATGGACTTTTTGTCGCGAATACGGTGCAGCTTTCGTACTCATAGTTAATATCTGATTTATGATAACCATTTTAGGCTAAATCTGAAACCAAAATTCCAAATGCAGTAAAGCACTGTGTTGAGTGGTTTGACTTAAAAGTACGGTCCGATCATGAATCAGGCGAGGATCAGCGACGCGTATGTGCTCTGAAAGAATTCATAGATGAAGGTAAGTTTGCCTGCCGTGTTCTAAGGACTTCTAGATATGGAATAAGCGTTACGTTTTTGTTTTTAGACAATGTCGAGAAGGCTTTTGCTAAACGTTTCGAAGGACATTCCAAATGTGATCTATCGACGCTCCTTTGGTACTCAAGGAAAATTTTCATGGAGTGGGCATTTCCTATTTCTTCGTATTTCTCTCTTTTTAAACACTGGGTTTCTCCTCCTTTATATCTCATAGTAGTTCCAACCATAGGGGTCATAAGTACGCTGAGGCAGAACTGAATACAATAAGTCACAAATGGGACAGGTGTTGGGGACCAGTTTTCACTTTTCATTTCTCAACTTTTCTAGCTGGAAAATATATCTGTGGAACGCTTCCGGTGTGGATGAAGCAGTTCTTCAGCTTTTCTTGATGAGAAGTTTTAGTAATTGCTGACGGCTCTTTACGCATGCTGCTGCATCGTTTTTTGGAGGGCGTGACTTTTCTTCAAGTAGATTCAGGAATTAAATAAGTGAGGAAGCTAAGGAGTAGAAAATGGGTTTTGTCCACCCATTTTAAATGCATGTGAACTAGTCTATGGGCCAAATATCACTTCTACTGGTGATCTTCTTATGGTTACCAGTTCTCCTCATTCTGTGGAAATTCAGACAAGGCGTGTCTCAACGGCAGCAAACCATCGTGTACATCACCAATGACACCAACCCATTTGAGGAAAATTGGGCTACCCAATTTGAGGGTTATTTTGTGAGCAATCGCTTTTAATGATTCGCGAATCTCTATTCTATACAAGTTATGTAACTTCCTCTTTAGACCAGAATGAAGAAAGGAGTGAATTCGTTCCGCCATCAGAAGGGAAAACGAACCATGGGGGAATTTTCCGTAGTGCTGT